GCGCCCTCGGCAACAACATCAACGTCTTCGAAGGCATCCACCGTAACTGGCTCTTCATCGGTGTCAACGTTATCATGATCGGCGGACAAATAATCATCATGTTCGTGGGCGGACGCGCATTCTCCATCACTCGTCTCACCGGCGTGCAATGGGCCTACTCTGTCGTTCTGGGTGTCTTGTCTCTTCTTGTCGGAGTAATAGTGCGTTTCATCCCGGATAGCCTCGTCGAGCGACTATTTGCGGGTGTAGGATTTATTATGGGTCCCTTGTGGCGGTTATTGAGGGTGAAAATTGAGTAAAGGGATAATTTTTGATCTTGGCAGAACTTGTATATATTGGGTTTTCCTTTTCTTTGTTGATAGTGTTGGGTGGGCTGGAAAGGAATGGATTATTCTTATCTTCTTTGGCGTCAATCTATGTAGACTTTCCTCGACTCGCTTAATGGTCCTTCTCCCTTAAGACTTCGATGCTGACAGATCTATGAGGGGGGAAGTACTGATGTTAGCTGGTCGCAGGAACTCATGCTCATCATGGACCTCGGATATGATGTGGATAATATTTGTCAACACAGAACATGCAACATATAATAGAATGGTTCTGGCTTAGAATCCCCCGCTTGTCAGGTGCCAAGGTAATGTTCGTTGTGTCAAGCTGAAAACTCCCTCTGCGCTTTCAGAACTTCCGCCAATAGATCCGGGTACCACCTCTGGCCCACGTCAGGATGACTTGTCAAAAGAGCCTTGAATATGCCATATCCAGGGTTCTCCTTATGGTACTGCGAGAAGAATGCCTCCGCATCTGACGTGACTTGCTGGTCCTTGACCAGATCAAGGATGTGGCCCGGGAGCTCTAATAGCATATCCTCGTGAGCCAGGTCCAATCTGAAAGTCTGAAAGACAGGAATAGAAAACCGTGGGCCTAGAAAGCGTCCGTTCGAATCTGTAAAGCACTCTGACCGCAAGTTCACTCTATGAGTGGTAGCTGTACACACCCCACTAGTCACATATTCCAGTGAGCGACCAACATTCATCACCAAAGTCTTCGGTACTGGAGGCACAGGAACCCAATCTCCAGCCTTGTTTTGAGCTTCAAGTCCCGCATGCGGTGTTGCTTGTAGGAGATAGGTGAGGAACCCGCCGTCTTTGTGCGATCCAACGCCTTGAAAGGTGTTGTTGTTATTCGTATCAGATGTCACCGGAGGGGAGGGATATTTCACAATAGACATCTTATTGCGCGGTGGGACATCGAAGAATTTGAAGAAGGCATTCGGATGCAAATCCAAGGCTTCAGCGACCAGAATCTTCATTGCATCTGCTAATGTGCTGACACTATCGAGATATTGTTCGAACGATTCGCGGAAACCAGGAACGGCCGTTTCATCTGGCCACTGAAAACACATTTGTCAATTTGCAGTATGTTATGTCGAAGACCGGATAAGAAAGTACCTGATTTGGTCCTTGAGCATTACGCCAAACTGGTTCATTTGGGCCCGGGGCTGGGAGGGGTGTTAGAAACTAATTAATATCAGTCAACGCCTCATCTCTATGAACAATGCTCAAGTAAGGCAATTTACATGAAATAACTCTCGATGGTCCATTTGCTGAGCAGTCTTTTCCGCACCTAGTCGCAAGTAACCTAGGAAATGCCTGCTATTGACCATATCGATCTCTAACTTTTTCTCCAGAGGTAGGTTGCATAACTGTATTGCCTTCTTCACAAACGCTTCCTTCACCTCTGCAGGGATCGGTGGGTTTTCGAAATAGAAAAATCCTACCATCACCAGGGCTTCTTTGAGCTGTTCTAAAAAGAGGGTCTTAGTGGCTGGTGACAGAGCGAGTGAGTAGTCGATTATCGGAATGGAGACGAAAGACGGTTTCCAGCCTTCATTAGCATGATGTGCCATTTGAACTAACTAATTCTGATGTGGATAATTCTGAATTAGTTCTCTGAATTTGGACACGGGCCCGTGGTATGAATAAATCTTCAGTACTTCTTTACTAACTACCCATTTCCGCCATTAGGTAGATTTCTACATAGTGTCATTTGTACACGTCACACCCTCTTTGGCAATCCCGCACGTAACAGTGCATGACACGTAGATATATTCAAACCTTCCTGACTAACCTGTGCTTCACATGCTGCAGCGCACTTAATCAGTGATAAGGAGCAATCAATTTAATACCGCATATAACGTAGTGAATCAAGTGGCATAAATCAATATGAAGAAGAAAAACCCATCTGAATTCGATAAAAGTTGTCTGCTGATTATATATCATGTTGCTTACCCCGCCGCCGCCACTCGAGTCCAGGGAGAAACTATTCTTAAAGTACTGGGAGATATGGAACAAACGAATAAGAAAGGTTAAATACAAGAACTTCATAGGTTGGAATAAATGTAATTATAACTTGGAAATAAATGAGGATATATATAGATATATATAGATATAACTATGCTAGTTTAAATAACTAAATCAAGACAGTCAGCAGAAATACATTATAAGATTGAAGATATGAGAGAGTGTGAGGTAACTGTCATTCTTGCGATATGACTATGGCGAGGGTTGTAGGAATATACGTCCTTACATGACCAGTGCTATTATTCTCTTGTTAGTACCTACCACGTGACTAAGGCAGGTTTAGTCTGTGTCTGAGCGAGGCGGAAAAAGAATACAATTCCAGCCCGACGGGTGGGTTTGTATTTGCCAATGTAGATTGATTCTCTATATCTATTCCCCCACCATAAACAATCACTGGCTCAAATGAATTATAAGATGTCTAACACGTGATTAATCTCGAAGACGTCTGATCAACAAATGTCTCCGCCCCGGGTTCTAGATTGGCAAACAACTTGTCAAATATCTCCTTGCCTCCTTCATCATGCACAAGTCCAATCCAAATAAATGAGGAGAGGATGTCCCGCATTTCCTCCCATGAGCGGACACTACAGCTTCCTAGATAATACAGCAACCAGTGCCTGAAATTCCGCCTGACGGCGGGTAAAAATACCACAAGACCACCGACAGTTAACAACCAGATCCAGAGTTGCGGAGGGACGTCGTTCCGCTTGGCTAAGCCATTTAAGCAGCGCTGGTAAGAGGCAGCCAGGTGGACGTACGGGGTCGGGTCGCTGCGGAACTGGAGGAAGATGTCAAATCCGTAGCTGAGTAAAGCTAGGCGGATCGCCTCGTCGAGGGACCCGGGCTCAAAGCTCATGTGTAACAGGGGGTACATGACGGAGGCCATTGTTTTCATAAAATCCGTCTCGGGAATCATGCCATTCGTCTTGGTGGTCAAGTTGACCTGGGCAGAGAATCCCTGCATAATATGCCACATCCGCGCCAGACCGGGGTCAAGTTCCTGGACGAACGACGGGACCGGGCGAGATTGCGGCGTAAAGCAAAGGTCGGATGGGACAAAGATGTCGAGATCGCGGTTCTCGAAAAAGGCGGGTTTTTCTCCACTGTGGATCGCTAGTCCCACATCGCATCTGATCACAGGTTAGACTCGGTTGCAACCATCGAGGTAGTCTAATACGAAAGGGGAATAAATAATCGGCAAAGACAGTAGGGCTAACAGTAGGGAGATGAAATGAAGGGAAGACCCACCGGATAAGATCAATGACTAGTTTGTTATTGGATGTAAATGCTCCTAGTCCTCCGCGCAGCCTGACCATCTTGCGTAAACCCTGGGTATGATGCAGTACGGCAGCATAATCACCCACAATATGCGCGTGCAGAATCAAGATAATGACGACCATTACGGTTGCATTGGACACGCGGATCTGCTCCTCCCCGAGCCGATTACGTAGCAGGCGGATGGCTTTCCCCAGATGAGGGGACTGGGTCGCTTCCCGCCCCTTGTAGATACCAAAGTATGATTGGGTGGTGATGACCATGGCGTTGAGGTAGGCTGCGTCTAGTGACAGCATGTCGAGAACCCATGATCGACTAGAGGCGTTGAACACTATGCATACGGCAAGCGGGTAGAACTCTGTCTTTGCCCGTTCAGTGACTATGAAGGTTTACATTTAGTGGGTCCGATTGAATCACCAGCAGGTGGAATCGGGGACGCGGCACCTACAGCGAAGGATAGTGGCTAGGGCTGCAGGGCTGGTGGTGTCATCAGCCAGCTGGACGAAGGACATGTCGTTGCCCACTCTGCGGGGAAGATCTGATGCCGCGCGGGTGGCTGATACTTGTGTAGATGGCAATAATGGTAAATCCACCCCATCGGCAGGAGGAGCCGAAGTCTCGTCTGTGCACGCGTCCGCCGGAGTCGATGGATCGGCCCCTGCTTGGCGATAGCGGGATTTGCCACGGTTCTTGCCAATCATAACATGGCTGCGAATGAGTTTGCGGGTACGAGGATCGACTTTCTTGGTGCCGGTGGAGACGATGAATGGCATGTCCGCCATGGCAACTATTGTGCGAAAGAGGTAAGAGAGGCATTCAGTGGGCTACAGCAAAAGCAAGAAAAACTTGGTACTGGAGACGGCGCACATACCAGACTGCTTGGAGGGCGACATGGCGGCGATCGAGCCCCAGTCTAGGAACAGAGGGCGTCCGGCGCACGTCCCAGACTGGTGGGATAGATCTCACGAGGATGGTCCAAGGACAGGTGCTTGGACGAGGCTAAACGAATGAGACGAGTGAGTATTCAGATTGTTGGCTAAAAAGGGCAAGCAATCCGGGGGGGGTCTCGGGAGTGTCAGGAAATATAAGAGACGGATTCCTCGGTGGTGAGAGAGCTGGACTTGCTGCAGGCTGCCCTTAGTACTTTTCCTTTCCTGGTTGGTTCGGATTGTTTCCGCTGTCACCTGCTGATACTGCTATCATTTAATTGGACGATATCCTACATGTGGGCCTGGGATTGTTGCCTGCTTTGGGTTTAGCCTGGCAAGCATGTGATGCAGCTTGGCAATGGACTGAATCGGTTCTATTCTATAAAAAGTCTGCTCCTGAATTCCTTGTAGAGGCTCTGGATCAGGAGTCCTGGAATGAATGGGCAAAAAGGTACAAGGTGAAAGGGGTAAGTATCTATGAGTTGGGAGCCTATGATCCAGCATCAAAAATAAGTGACGCCCAATATCTAGCTCTGAGGGCATTGTGGAAGTTTGGGCGAGCTAGTGAGTTCCAACCAGACAAATGGGGAATCCAGGGCGTTGAGGCTGCCACGGAGAAGCTGGGGAAGCTCAAGCATTGGAAAAGCTTCCTTGAGGCGATTTCACTAGAGACCAATTTAGATGAAATGCTTCCCATACAGGGTGACCTTGGCGCTTTTACGCTGATTTGATATTATGGCCAGCTCATTCGCTGGGCGCCGAGTGCGGCCGATATTAAAGAAAACGCCAATTTCACTCCATGGTCTGAGCGATTGCGGGAGAGAAAAACAGAGTCGAGCAGCAAAAGCTTCTCCGAACAAATTCAAACACATCCTTTTGCGACTCATCTGGCTGATTACCTGAAGATATATGAAGATCCGGAAGAGCAAAGGAAAGGAACACGTGAACTACCATCGAGCAGTGAGAGTCAAATCTACCAGTCTTCCGAAACTGCCTACATTGATCTAGACCCCGAAACCTGCAGTGATGACTCTAGGCTGGATCCAAGCTACGAGGAGCGGGAAGACTTTCCACAAATCTCTGATGAGATCATGGTGAATGCATACTTGCTGGGTCTGGCAAGTGTAGTAACCTTCCCCATCGAAGGCGTCGAAGCCCATTGGACCCCAGAACGGAAGGGGTACAAAGTCTGTGATGAGAAAGGCATCAAGCTGTATGAAGCACGGACGGATGGTCATATGTACCTAAATAGTAATGGAAAGACCAACGCCATTGCTGAAGACAAACCCGTGGTGCGAGCCGAATTACCCGGGTTCATGATGCAGGAAGTTGCTCAGATGGCGGCATGGATCCACGCCGAAAAGGATGTTATACAGGATGAAAACCTGGCGGAACAATGGTTAGTCACCCCTGCACCCAGTGTGTATGTTCAGAAGTCTCTTACGCCAAGTGAGAGAAAATGTGGAGGAAGCAGCTAAGCATCTGACACCATATGTTCCGTCGCTTGCTCTGGTCGATGAATCGACATGAGCTATATATAATCATTGCCGAGTATAATGGGGACTACGTCGACTATTTGACGAATCCACGACGCGAAGCGGAATGCGAAACTTTCATGACGATGAACCAGTTTGGCCCATGGGACATTAGAAACTCCACTCAGGTTGCTGAATTTGCTGCCATATTATTGGAAATAACTTTACAGTTCAGTAAGGGTCTGCCCCTTATCTGAAACCCAATCGGAGATTCTCATTCTCATTCTGCACTGCTTGGTTGTGCTAGTATCTCTGAGTCTCAAATATGCGGCTACTGTTCGAAAGGGGAACTCGATTGACCGCCATATTGCATGAACCAGCAGAGATGTATTATTCTACAGTACCTCCACTGCCCGCCGCTTATATATTGATGGCTGCGTACCTACATCCTTTTCTATCAATTGTATGATAGATACACAGCTCATTGTACTGTTACGAGAAAGCAAAATGCTTTCTTAAGAAACCTGCCTCAAAATATTATCCCAACGGGATGAGTGGAACCGAAAACTGCTGGCACCAGTGTGAACAATTACCATACATTGATGTCGAAGGTAAAATGGAACCCGAATATTATAAGTCTATTCCGAACCGTCAACGCTAATGAAAGATCTTAAGGAGCAGGTCATCCTTCGGAAGCGGAGCCGTGGTAGAGCATTAGCCAACAGGCCCTTCACTCATCGATCAAACCACCATTTCCAATCAAGCTGCAAATGACCTCCACTCAGCCGAAAATGTAAATCGGTCCAGATCCACGATGTGCGGGGTAAGATGTGGCCCGCTGCGGGTTCCGAGAAGTTTGAGGGAGTCACAGCGCGTATACCATCCCTGTCACTCTATAACCTTAAATGCTTGCCGCTCGCTCACTGTGCCTGGGCTCAGTCACATCCTCACCCCCTTGGTTACATTTACCCACATTCAGCACATCATGCACATCGTCTGGCGGGATTCGGCTGAACCAGCCGTCTACGAAGAGGCTCGTGTAGGCCGCGTATTCAATCACCGTCGTCCCCAACGCTTTCCCTTGGCAGTTGTCAAAGCTACCAGCACAAAGGATATCATCGCTGCAGTGAAGCTAGCCGCCGAAAAGAACTGTCGCGTTGCTATACGATCGGGAGGACATTCATGGGCAGCATGGAGTGTCCGCGATGAATCCATCCTCATTGATCTGGGGAACTACAAGCACTTGGAAGTGGATGCAGAGAACCGCATTGCGATAGCCACTCCCAGTACGACAGGAAAGGAGCTCAATGGAGTTCTGATCAAGGATTATGGTTTGATGTTCCCGGGCGGACACTGTCCCGACGTGGGCCTGGGTGGCTTTCTGCTACAAGGCGGAATGGGATGGAATTGTCGTGTCAGTTAATGCGCTCCCACTATGGCATCTCGACTGGCTAACAAGTGTTGTTCGACAGAATTGGGGCTGGGCCTGTGAACGAGTTCAGGCAGTGGATGTAGTGACAGCCACAGGCGAGCTGCTTCACTGCAACGCCACCCAAAACCGCGATCTCTACTGGGCAGCCAGGGGAGCCGGTCCTGGCTTCCCAGGTGTGGTGACGCAGTATCATCTGGAACTAATTCCATATCCTAAGGATGGTTTCCGCTCGTCTGGCTATGTCTATCCCATTCGACAGTACCGACAAGTCTCTGACTGGCTGCTCTCCATCACCCCTAGTTTTGACGAGGACACTGAAATCGCCGCTGTGGCCGCGTACCCAGAGGGGATTGACGAGCACTGCTTCTTTGTCCTATTTGTCGCCATGAAGTCAACCCCTGAAGAGGCCGAGAAGGCTTTACGCCCAGCGCAGATCACCCGGCCAACGGGAGCGATCCAGGAGTGGTTCTGTCAGGTGGATAGCCTGGAGAATCAATATACTAACCAAGCCAACGCTAACCCGGAGCGACACCGGTACTGCGCCGAAAACGCCTACATTCGAAATGATGCGGATGTCCCCGCCGTGCTCGAGGAGGCGTTTACGACACTGCCCCACAAGAAAGCGTTTGCCCTCTGGTACGCCATGTATCCTTGCAGCCGTCGGAAACTCCCCGATATGGCATTGAGCGTGCAGTCGGACCATTACTTTGCACTTTACACTGTGTGGGAGGAGGAGAAGGACGATGCGAGATGTCAAGCGTGGGTGGCTGATGTGATGAAGAGAGTCCAGCGACATGGAGTCGGGTCTTATCTGGGGGATGCGGACTTTCAGGTGCGACAGACAAGGTACTGGGCGGATGATAATGCACGACGGTTGATGGACATCCGTCGCAAATGGGATCCTCAGGGGCGCATCTGTGGGTATTTGGACAAGGATGATCGGTCTGGAACAAGAGGGCTGGACAATGCCAAGGAAACGAAGTTGTGATTGTTTTATTATGTGTTACGTGGCTGTTTGCTTCCCGGATAAATATTTTCGAGGCTTTATCGTTAGTCTGTAACAATTAGTCTCAGATTGGTGCTTGAGGAATCGGTCATGTTGTACATAACTTGGAGAGTGCTAGACGTAGATGTACTATATTAGCAATAGACCACTCACTGTGGAATAAAGTAGTCCAAAACAACTATGCTACAGCAGATCGGGCTGTGGAGACATGTAGCCCTGGCTTGGTGGATTATCCGATGCCACCTATATGACAGCTCACAGAAGACCCAGAAGAACTACTAGGAGTCCTGTTGGTATTATTTCGAAAGTGTGATACTTAAACAGCTAAGCAGCTAGAATATCCTTTTCTTCTTTCTACGGTGTCCAGTCTCCGATGTAATATTTTAGGCGCGGACCACTACAACGCAGCTGTTGAGAGCTTCCGCTATTCCTACCCTTAAACTATCATACACACAACACAAACTCGATGTCTCTCGGTTTTCCGGGACAAGCGGGTTACCTGAAGTCGGGTTGTGGAGAGCAAAGGCACGAGGAACTGCGGGCGGCGGGAGACAGTCGGATAGCGGGGGAGTGATTGAACTCCAAGCGCCGGGACATTGAACCGAACCGATCATATATGGCAGTCGGGAGGAACACAACTGCTCAAGATTATATCCCACACACACCATGTCTCCTACTAACAGGCTGGGTCAAATCAGCAATCACATCTCGCCCAAAATGGTTGAACAAACTCTCCTCCACAAGGTCGCTATCGTCAGCGGCTCGTCCTCAGGAATTGGCGCCGCCATTGTGCGGGAACTCTCTGCCCACGGAGCGAGCACAGTTGTTAATTATCCATTCCCGGGTCTCAAAGCTGAAGCAGACGCCCTGGTGGCGTCTTTGCCATCTCCGTCAGTTGCTGTTGAAGCGGATATGGGCTCAGTGTCTGCTCCACAGGCGCTGGTCGATGCTGCGGTATCGAATTGGGGTCGGGTCGATATCGTGGTCAACTGTGTCGCACTAGCAGTAAACAAGCCGTTCGAAGAGCAGACACTTGATGACTGGGACCGACTGGTCAATATTAATGGACGCGGGACGTTCTTGTTGACTCAAGCCAGCTTGAAGCACCTCACCAAGAATACTGGGAGAATTGTCAACATCGTGAGTATTTCGGCACGAGGACCTCCGCCAAATCAGAGCATCTATGCCGGTACCAAGGGAATGGTTGATTCCTTCACGAAATGCTGGTATGACTTACTCCTCTTGAGTACACTAGGCATTATTTCTGATTCATTCAGGGCCAAGGAGCTTCCGCCCAAGTATGGTTGCACCGTCAACGCGGTCAGTCCGGGGCCAACCAAGACGGAAGGTTTTGCAGCAGCAGGTGAAGAACAGATGAAGATCCTCCAGCCCATTATTGATCAGACACCAGTTGCGCCACGGATGGCTGAGCCGGATGAGATTGCGTTTGCCGTGGGGTTTCTGTGTGAAGAGAGGTCGAGATGGATCAATGGGGCACATATTATTGCATCTGGTGGACTGTTTATCGATTAGCTTACTCTATAAGCATTTACATATTCAAACAGTTAGCCTGGCTGATGCATCCTGTCATGGATGAGCAGACAAGTTCCTTAGCATTTTGTCTAGCACCGTCATCAACAGCTGGTGCGTAGTCCGATCCCAGGTTAAGCATGTCTGTGATGCCGTCTATCAGATAGTTGATGGCTATCAGAGAACAAGGCCATATACTGATCGCATTATCGTTGGCATACCGGCGCCTTTGGATTGGATCACTGCTAGTCACACATCCGCGTTGCGAACATCCCAGATGCTTCACACCGGCCAATGATAGAGCACAATCGTCTGCCACAACAGAATGCAGCAAACATGCAGGATAAACCATGTACAGAATTACAATTCCATAAATCTCTAAATCATTGTGCATTGTGCAGTCCAGGGCAATGAAGCACGTGAGGCGAGCACCGAAGCGGAAGTTCACATTCACGCGCCCTCGCTTAACCCTGAGTGTTGACCTTAGCGCGTCTAGTATATTCTCATGCCTTTGTTGACGCGCCTCTGTCATAGATCGTTTCTTCACATCTATTCTCTTCACCACACCCGTTCTCTTTATTCCGTCATCCTTCAAGCGTTATCCTTCAAGAGTCAGCGTTCCAGCGTCAGCGTTCCAGCGTCAAGTTACACCAGTCGTCGTTAAGCGAGATGCCTACCAACTTCAACGTTGATAGAGCGATGGCGGTGATTCGCAACGAGCATAGAAAGCTCCTGACCCTCACCTTCAGCAGCCATTTTATCTACCCAGGCCAGTTCGTCTCCAAGCGTGGTAAGTCATCACCCCCCGTATCTAGATCACAAAGCATCCCTAAACTGACCGACCAGATGCTGCCCATCCACCACGTATGTCGTTCCCTCGCCTCAAGGGCAACGGAACCTATATGATCGTTTGCCTTGACCTTGATGCCCCCTTCCCTTCGTGCCGCGTGCTTGGCCCTAAGTGCCACTGGATCCAGTCTGGTCTGGAGCCGATTATGAGCGAAAATGGTCACTTCTTCCTCAGAGTGGCAGCACCTTTCATCGCCAACTACGTTGGACCTAATCCTCTTCCCGGAAGTTCTCCACACCGCTACCTGTTCATTCTCTACGAACAGCCTGCTGGCTTCGAACTCACTCGATCTTCTCCCACCGGCGGCAAGAAGATGGGAGTCTGGTCGCGTCTCCGTTTCGATCTTGATGGCTGGGCGAGAGAGATTGGCCTTGGGCCTGTTGTTGGAGCCAACTATTTCGTCAGCAAGTAGCTGTTGGCTATTTTCTGTGATTGCGTCGTTCGTTTCTGAACTTGTTTATTCGCAGCACAAGACACGAATCTGGTGATGTCGTCGTGGCGGTGAAGTGAAATCTAGCGGTCCGCATGTTTATTTTAGCATGTGGATGGGGTGTTGTGGCGTTGGGTTGTTCACACTGTTTGAGTTTGCTTCATTCGCACACAAGATGGAAGTTTCTTTCTGGTAAAGAGGTGGACTCGGACCTGTGCTTATGTATATCTTATGATGTGACACGATGTTGACCATGTGTCAAACAGACTTCTAAATAACAGCAAATGAAGTAATGTCTAACTGACAAGTCTCTAATCACTCGTAGCTCGGTTACAAATGAAGATGTAAGTATACCCTCACTCTCAAGTCACATCTGCAGTAGCGCAGACAATCACACTCAATACAGCTAACAGCCAATCACTTCGTAATATCATCCACCCACTCCTTCGAACTCACAACGCGTCCCTGGCGCGTAAATACCTTCTCCATCAAAACCCGATGCACCTCCAGATCCAGATCCATACACCCATCCTCCAAGACAGTCACACTGTAATCAAGATCCGCAGCCGCACGAACGGTCGACAGCACAGCTCCACTGGTAATGAGCCCTGCCATTACCACCTCTGTGATACCCATCGACCGAAGGATAAGATCCAACTCAGTAGAAGTAAAAGCCGAGACACGATACTTTGTCACGATAGGCTCTTCGTCGCGGGGTGCCACGGCAGGGTGAACCTGGGTAGACTCATCGTTGTTACGGAAAGCCCCCATTTCCTTGGCTCTGGCCACGCTGAGGTTTCGAGGATTACATTCTGGGTGGCCAGCACGGAAAGCTGTTACCACATGAATGATGGTGAATTGGGCTTCGCGGGCCGCCTGTGTCACAGTTGACAGAGTTTGGAGGTATTGAGTAGTGTCTTCGAGACGGTTGACGATGCCGTTTTGTACGTCGAGGAGAATGAGGGCGGCTTTCTCGGTTGCCATGCTTGTGGACTTGCTTAGTATATGTGTAGTAGAAGAGTGATTTTATGATTGTTCGACTTTGGAAATGACCAGTTGCTGGGTATACTGGGTCATTTTATGCTTGCTGCTGGAAACCCGGTAACGGGATGTATGGATGAGGATCTGTTTTTTGATTGGTGGAGAAGCCCGGTTCCGGGATGGGAAGCCGGTACCGGGATAGCCTCGAGCTGTCACAATAATGGACTGTGGGCATCATTTCTTTTTACTCCTTCAACCCTGCTTTTTCTTGAGGAATGAGTGGACTTCTCGTTTGTTCATATCTGAAAAGAGCTTCCGCAAAGAAATCAAGTGTCCAATATGAACGACAACCCATCTTCTTCATCGGCTACAGAGGCCAACGCCCCCGATATAGAAAAAGTGCCGGACCAGAATGCGCCACCAAGGCTGGATGTATTTTCAGTCTTCACAGTCAACCAAAAGCGAGCTATGGTGGCGACTGGCTCTATGGCCAGCTTCTTCTCACCACTCTCCTCAAGCATCTACTTCCCTGCCATGGACACGATAGCAGCAGCGCTGAACGTCTCCACATCCAAGATTGACTTGACTGTCACGACCTACCTGGTGAGTCTGAAATCCCCTTAAAAGCATTATAATTCCTAACAGCATATCTTATGCTGCAGATAATGCAAGGCGTTGCTCCCATGTTAATTGCCGGATTCTCAGACACAGCCGGCAGACGTCCCGCCTACATAATCTGCTTCACCGTCTACATCGCCGCCAACCTCGGCCTCGGCCTACAGAACGACTACAGCTCACTACTAGGTCTACGGTGCCTTCAAAGTGCAGGAAGCAGCGGCACCGTGGCGCTGGCCAACGGCCTGGTCGGAGACCTAGTCACATCTGCAGAACGAGGAACATACATCGCATTCGCTTCATTAGGGAGCATGCTCGGGCCTTCTCTATCCCCAATCATCGGTGGACTCCTCAGTCAGTACCTCAACTGGCACTGGATATTCTGGTTCCTTCTCATCTACTCCGCCGCCTTCTTCCTCCCCCTCTTACTCTTCCTCCCCGAGACCTGCCGCAAAGTGGTCGCTGACGGCTCCGTTCCACCCCCAACGCTAAACAAAAACCTAAGCGACACAATCCGGCACCGCAACCGAAAGGCCAAAGGTCTCGTCGTAGAGGAAAGCAAACTCGCCGAAGTACGCAAGAACTACTCCTTCCGGTGTCCATCACCCATATCCACACTAAAAGTCACCGCCGACCTCGAAACGGGCGTTATCCTCCTCGCCACGGGGCTAACCTTCGCATGCTTCTACGCTGTAATGACTGGAGCTACGACCTCATTTCACGATACCTACCATCTCAGTGACATCGAAACAGGATTGATGTACCTCCCTATCGGGGCCGGCGGCATCGTCTCAGCATTTACCACAGGCCGTCTAATGGACTGGAATTATCGTCGACATGCTGCCAAGGCTGGACTGCCCGTTATCCGGAATGTACGACAAGACCTTACGAACTTTAATATCGAAAAGGCAAGGCTGGAAGTCGGACTGCCGATGTATTACACATGCATAGTGTCCATGATCGCCTACGGCTGGGTCCTCGGCCACAAAGTGAATTTGGCTGCGCCGATCATCCTGCTCTTCATCTCAGGGTGGAGTCTGAATGGCACATCGCAGGTCTTGAATGCCATTCTTGTTGATCTGTGGCCTAGTCGATCTGCAGCTGCAACGGCAGCGTGTAATTTATTTCGCTGTGAGTTGGGAGCAGCAGCTTCGGCGGCCATCACGCCGATGAGTGAAGCGATGGGGCAGGGGTGGGCGTATACCACACTGGGATTGATCTCTGTAACTGTGTCGCCGAGTTTGTGGGTGGTCATGCAGAGGGGGATTAAATGGAGGCAGAGAAGATTGAGGAGGGAGCGGGAACGGGCAGCTAGAAGTCAGTAGGGGGGGGGGTTGATATGAAATGGATGAAAATGAGATGTGTCTGACTGGGGTATAGCTTGTTTAGAATTTGTTAGATAGTGGATAAAAGTATATGTTTATCATTTCACCATGGGAACGTCTGGGATATGCTGGTTTACGTTTTCACTTACCATTAACTCTACGTATGCATTTGACTACTAATATGGAACTACTTCAGAATAGGCCTGATGGGCCTGCTACGACTACACGGTATGTTATACAGTTGAGGGATCAGCTTGAGTGTTGGGAGAAACCAGGTTGCTCCTCTCAAAAAGTGTTATCATTGGCCAAAAAAAAAAAAAAAAAAAAAAACCCAAAGCGGAAGCAAAAGGGGACAATGTAGGCAAAATAGAGCTAACAGGAAGAAAGAACAAGACACTTCAAAAGTTAAGACAATGAAAGACTAAGCAAACAGAGAATATGAAGCAGGAGGGATTTATACATGAGGCCTTTGGGTGGTACAGGAAAGGTAATGAAAGACAGCAGACAGGAGAAGGGCATGATAGTGAAACAAAACGAAGAGATATAGGAAATGGAAGCGGGGGCATAGGGAGATAACAGACAAAAGGGAGGTGGAAAATCAATGAATGATACGTGAGGATGGTAGATGGTAGTACAGAATGCAAAGGGGAAACTTGAAAGAAGGTATGAAGAGTGAGGTAATGATAGGAAAAGCTGTATGAGGGAATGGAAAAAGGCATAGAAGGTCACCGAAGAATTTTGGCGTGATGGGGGAACTGGCGACGGGGATATAGAAATGAAGAAATTCAAGGGGAAAAGTCTTCCTCCAGCAGCTGGCAGAATCGCAAACAAACCATAAACCGGCCCCACTGATACTTTTGTTTGACAACTCTCCATTTCCACGCCACAAGCTTCCTCTGACGCCAGATATATGAGTTTAGTGGTCAGACTTGGAGTAGACAAATGTGGCTAAGAGAAAATAGAAGATTAAAACAGAGTTATCAGTGGAATGGCATGCTAGGCATGGCGTTAGACTATATCTGACCGGCCGACAAAACCACAGAAACACTGATTTAGTCACCTCCTCAATGATACCAACCCGCATTTCCCACAACTCTCTGTCACAAGCTTCCTCTGACACAAGTCATATCAGTTTAGTGGTCAGAATTGGAGTAGACAAATGTGGCTACGGAGGAGAAGGAAATGTCAAGACGGAGTCGTTCTTAAGATGACATGCTACGGTCAGTTTATGACCGTCTCTCAGCGCTCGTGTGGTGTAAGGTATGGTGTTTGACTTCGCCCTCGAAGCCTAGGTTAGACTATTCAAATGGTCCACTAGAGTCTAGGTTAGATGTAGACAGTGAGCCTCGGTCGATTCAAACGGGTGATTCTATTCAGGTCTTATGTAGACAAAGCGTATAGACACGACAGTAAACCCCCCATTGAACAGAGACACCCATCGTGTAGTCACAACAGCAATAGGAGACAACATAATTCACACGACCGGCGGTAAAGAAACATGGATATAGATGATGTTGGCAAAGAAGAACGGGACGATACCGCCACACAGCCAGGCGTTCGTTCACATTCTTCACTAATGTCACGCTCACTGTCTACCCTGGAAGGTAAGACTTGTTCCCCGTAAGGTAAAAGCTTGCATTTTCACTGCAGACAGAGAACCCCCCCCCCCCCCCCCCCCCCCCCCCCCCCCCCCCGCCTCCCATCTTTATCAGTCACCCCCTGAGCTATAAGAGTTATAACTCCATCAAGAATGACCCCAAAAATGGCGGCGGCAGACTCTCCGTCCGCTTGAAAACCTAGCCTTACCCTTAAGGGCTTAGTCAACCTTCTAGGGTAGGCAGACGGTAGGAAGGCATGGGCGAAGGTTGATGTGGAGGGATCCTGGCTGGTGTAGCCGTAGCGCCTCCTTAAAAACAAAAGAAAACAAGGTAAGAGAAATTTAGCAGTGCATACTGCTAAGAGCTGCAAACCAGTGCCAGAGCGTATTCCATGCTGCTCACTACACTATCCAGATGCATCATTAGAAACCTCCATCGTCAGAGTCATACCACTCAAAATCATGGATTTATTGACTAGCTGTTGAGGGGTTAGAAGTGCACAACTTTCTGTGTAGCGGCATCATGGCCAGCCAAGCACCGTTGAGCAGTGTGACGAAAGAATGTGGACGAGGAGGGGACATCATGTCCTATTTATGCTTGGGACAGGTGGCAAATCCATAACCGCCAGGTGCCTCAGCAATGGTGTTAACGGGGAGTTCCTGAAGATTTGATGAAATCACCATTTGATTATAGGCAGACTCCATGCACCGCAACTTCACCATTGCCCGTAATTTCCATGTGGTAGGCGTAAATATAATTCCATGGAAAAGGAATTTCCCACTCTATGATCGGGACCTTGGAATATTGGTGTTGCATCACATTGAGTCATCCTGTATAATATTCTCAACATCTGGGGAGACATAAGACAAAATACTATAGGGACTCCCCGCTTAAGACCTTACATACACTGTGACTAGCCAGCCTGGCATGATAGAAATTGGAAGACGGCTAAGATAGAGCATCTTAAGTGGTAGTTATATCATCTCGAACCATTCCACTTATAAGAGACACAAAACCTTATTGTCACCGTTTTCATGAATGTGAGAAACACTGGGATTTTCGGGGCCTTGAAATCAGCACATCAATTTATCTACTTCACACTTGAACCGCTTCTACTATAATTCTCATGACGGGTCACAATAAATCAAGTCGGAATGTTCCATCGAAGTCGCACATTATGATAAGTAATAATCCCCTGTCAAGAAATCTAACAGACGGTCAAATTTATAGTCCCCAACGTGGCCTATTCCTGATATGAATTGTATGCAACCATTGCTAGCCTTCTAAGTCTGCCCTTGATGAAGAAGGAAATATGATGGGTTGAATATGGAAAGTCTATACAACACTAGTCTCAGTTACTTGAGAGAAAGATAAATGATGAGAGGACAGATCTGTCCTCGATGAATAATGCTAGATTTACACTCTGTCCCGTCCGTTCTATCCTATGCGTGTGAAATCTGTGCCTGATATTTACTGTCTTGACTTCATCTGGCAGCATACATTTCTACACTCACATATGGGTATTCAGGCTACTACAGAGATCTCTCTATTGTAATCATAGATACAGACTGACGTCTTGTGATGTACCTATAAAGGTACAACATAATGTATCTCCCGTTATTATGGTCTTAATTCAGTGCTACTGCCCCAAACCTAGTCAATCCTCGGACCTCTGACACTTCCGATGCGTTTGTTTCGGTTTCCTGGTCGAGGGGGTTCGGAGGAAAGATGTCCCCATATTCTCCAGGAGTCTGTCTGGCCCAACGCCCGAAATCTTTACTCACATCATCCACTCGCTTTTTGATATCCTCAATCACCACCCTGCACAGATGCCAGCGCCACATGATATAGCTGTTCAAAATCATCTGCTCAGCATGTTCGGGACTAAACTCAAATGCACTTTCAACTATGACATAGTCAATAATACGAAAAAGAATCTCATCGTCAGATGAGAGGTATGAGGGCCCAACTCACCAATGTACACCAACTCTTCAACTTGTCCGCAAAGGTCAACCAGTAGTTGATAAATGGTAGTCTGGTGGCGCCAGACTCTCGGCTCAGCCATGACTTGGTAGAAATTGATCTGTTTGAGAAAGTGCATGGATTCATCATAATCAGTAAGTCCGCTTTGGATGTCGTATACCCTATCCAGTGAGTCAATATTGACGAGTTTTCCAAGGCATTGTGAGGCGAAGATATCGTTTTGGTCAATTTGAATGAACATGTGGTTCTGCTCCTCTTGGGCCTTCTGGTGGAAAATTGCAAGTTCAGGCTCCCATTTGTAATAGGTATCCCACTCTTCGTGGTTGTAGCCGTTGGTAGCTTCCATGATGACTTTCGCAGGATGTTAGATGTGCTTGGTCCCGTACGGTCTAGTAAGGATGGAGGTAGGGTCAGGAAATAAGATCGATTAGTCGGCGATGTGAAGTAAGATATATGAGATAGTATTTATACCTCGTGTGGGAGACGCGCGGAAAGACGGATTGAGTCTTCGTTTGAAGTGGAGTATCGGAAAATGTCGATTCATTCTTAGTAACTTAATGGTTTGTCTTGGGTGATAATTCCCTCTACAACCTTGAACAGAAAGAAACAATTCCAAACAGAGCAATATTAGAAAAGAACTGTCAGAGGACTCTCACTTTTCTTTCTGTGTCCCGCTTTTTTCCAGTTCTCTCCTATCCTCTGCTCTACTTTGATCCAATATCTTTTTCACCAGTTTCATCTACTTTTAACCTTCCGTTCATTGTCCATTTTCTTTTCCAATTGTAATTCCTCTTGATTCATCCAAGCTGTACTGAGAAGAGTAAGACATAAGCGGGATTTACAATAGCCGTTCTTCTGGGTCGATTAGAACCAAGGGCAAATCCACATTCGTCGAGAGTATCTGCCGCGCATCTGCAGTCCAGTTTAGTTTGATTAATCTCCCTTCATAGTCAACGCGAAAATTGTCAGCTAATGAATTATCATGCAAAAATGGCATAACTCTACTGTCCAAACGCGACCAATGGCAGTGCACAGATCAGGAGAACATGAACCGGGAAATGATTTACGGCTCCTTGCGCAGGCCATGCAGGAGGCAAGAAAAAGCAATTCTCTCCAATTTGAATAAACAGCCCGTGATTATTTCAGTGGAGCCGAGTTAACCCGAGCAAACCAAATAAGGTTTGGGAACTGTGTAGATGAAGGTCTTCGAAAAGAAATTATACCGCTCAATTCGACTTTGCAGAAACTGGCGTAGCTGAAATTATCATTGAAATACTACTTACTACAGTGGCTGGCGGGGTGGTATCTTCCCTTGCGGGTTTGAATGTGGCACATGAGCAGGAGACTAGAATGTCATTGGTGAGCAGCGATAAGCGAAAGCTTGGAGTTCAACAAATAGTGGTTTCTGCAGACAAGGATGCAGAATGTTTGGCGAGGTCGTGTAACAACACCCAGGCACTATAAATGCTGGCTGGGGAATCCTCTTTCTGGCTCTTCGAACCTGTCTCATAATCATTTAAAGTAGTTCTCTCTCATCACCGTTACCATGTCTTTGCCCGTCAGAAAAACAAATGGCAAGTTCCAGCAGGTCACGAAGAACCTGAAGGAAATCACTGCCCATCCCATTGATCCCACAACAGGTTCGTATTGAGAATCCTATCGGGTGTGTGCAGGTGCCTGTGGGATTGGCTGGACCTCTCTGGGTGTGGGAGACCGGCACTAGCGGCGCAGAGGTTGAAGAGGTATATGCACCGCTGGCTACCACCGAAGCAGCCTTGGTCGCAAGTTGCTGTCGGGGTTGTAAGGCTTTTAACCGGAGTGGGGAATTTACATTATTGCTCTTCGCGATGCCATGTCGAAGTAAGAATCCCACCTTCGTTCATTCCTGGTCCTGGCAAGGAGATGATCGTGGCGATCTCAGACTAACGGAGAATTAAGAGTTCCAGCTTTCATATTCGACTCGCCGGTCAACGCTCTGGCCTTCGCTCAGAAGGTACCGACCCTCCAGGGGGAGTTGAAACGGCTTGCCGAATCTACCAGTCGCAGAATCCAGCTTCTATCAGTAACTCCGACCGTAGTGGGCTCCGCAACGCATCTGCATTTCAACTACAAATGCGGCGACGCTACCGGTCAGAATATGGCCAGCATCGCAACTCATCGAGCCTGCCACGAGCTGCTGATAGACACCCCTCTCTGTGAGGATCTGAAGATTCGTGGCTTTCTATTCGAAGCGGGAACGTCGGGGGAAAAGAAAGCCGGCTGGTCACATGTGCAAGAACCACGCGGCGTCGAGGCCATGGTATGGGGGACGATCAGCAACGAAGTAGCCGGAGAGCTGCTGGGATGCTCGACCGAAGCCATCTACCAGGCTCTGACTCGTGCACAAGCTGGATCCGTGCGAGCAGGCGAATTTGGCTATGCAGGCAACGTCATGAACGCCGTGACTGCTATCTTCATCGCTACTGGGCAGGACGTTGCCAGCATCAGCGAATCCTGCTGGACCCAGCTCACCCCGGAATACAACTATGAGACCAAGGTGCTGACTCTGTCACTATATATTCCGCCCCTTCCGGTGGGAGTGGTTGGTGGAGGCACCCACCTGGGTCCTCAGCGTGAGGCGCTTGAAATTATGAAGTGCATTGGACCTGGGAAGAAGCGTCGGCTTGCTGCACTTATTACCGCATTTGCGTTGGCCTTGGATCTTAGCTCCACGGGTGCTGTAACTAACGATACATTTTCTCAAGCTCATGCCGGGCTTCGCAGAAAGCCTGACGATGCCACGGCAAAGCTTTAGACGCAGATCCGTATGACGGCTGGAGCATTGTATCGGAACCCGTGTAATCAGAGGTCTAGATTTTATTAAATGATATATGCTGTCTTGTATTTCCAACATCCTCCGGTCTCGGTTTGCTCCTCTCGCAGCAGGACTTATTCTTTGTTTCGTTATGATAAGTAAAGACCCATTCGAAGGAGCACCACGGCATTTCAGAACTTATAATTTATGACGAGGGTGATCTGCTATTAGTTACTCGCCAAGCTTTGCTCAAGATGTCCAACCCTGTCTTGGCACCATTCTCGTCTTTGACAACCACCGGCAGCACCGTCACCGCCTCAACTCCGTCTACTCGGTCGGGATCGAATACGTCCCAGTATTCCTTTGGCTCTTTCCACCCGCTCGTATTCTCGGTTTCAGCAGGAGGCCAAACCATACATCCGAGGTAATACACTCCGAATGCTATAAGCAGGCCAACAGGGTATGCAACAAAGTAAAATCGTTGTATGCCCAAGGGTGCCTTGACACCCATCTGGTTTAGGAAGCCGTAGAAGTTCGGTGCAACTGCTACAAGATAAGCACCGAAGCCGCGGAGATTAAATCCGTGGAAGAAATAATAGACCCCATCGGTACGTGCTGTGTATAATGCCGGAATGTCAAGCCATCCCCGTCGGATGAGGTAGTAGTCGCATATCAGAACACCAGCGATAGCAGAGAGAAAGATTTGATAGGAGGAGAGGAAGGTGATGAAAACGGCTGCTGTGGCGAGGAGGTACCATGGGCAGATAGCGAAGGACAGAACTACATCATATCAGTAACTGCAAGACTAGACTCGTTGGCCAATACTGACTAGCACAGATAAAGAAGCCTCGTTTAACGGTAATGTACCGAGGAAGTAAAGCTGCAATGTCATTTCCGGCGCTGCATAGTATGAGCGGTTAGTCAAAAATATGCCATCGAAAATATAGGATACTCACGGAATAGAGTTCTCGAAAATGGCGGAAAAGACAGTCGAGTACACGAATGCCAATGAAATGAACACACAAGCAGCGCGGTTTCCCGGCGTGTATCTTTCTCCATCCATCAGCTTGTCCAAAAATGTCAGGGGATTCCATATCAGCTGACTTCCGTTAGTATATGGCCTATATGGAAGTTCGTTAGAAAAAAGGAGACGTACCTCCCCAAATATGCTTCTGCTACATCCAGCAATGATGTTGCCGATGACAGCCACTAGTAATCCAGAGAGCGGAAAGCTGATGACCTGTGCTAGGATCACGTCGCTAGGCTTCCTTGCGTACCGCTGGAGGTCCGCGGCATTGGAAATAAAGGTCCCGCAGCTGGCCAGTCCCAAAAACAGGAACTTGCAAATAAGCCAGCTCTTGGCTCTCCCATGAACTGTCGAGGCCTCGTGAATGGCAGGAGGGTTACCCCCAGCCAGGCGTACCACCCAAGCTAGCATGGCGAAAGCGCCGCCATAATAAACTACTACTTTGATGTAGATGAGCTTTTTCATCTTGGGCACAGGAACCACGAGAAATGCGCAGTTGATAAGCCTATCACCTATTAGCGTCTCGCAGTTATCGGGTGGACACGTACTTGCCAGTAAACGAGAAAACATATCATCTGCGCAGACGACAAGGCAGACTTTGGTCCCATCTTATCGGGAATACGAGCGATTGATGGGAATATTGCATGCAGGAAAACACTGGATCGGTCTCAGTCATGTGCATGGAAAAGGACCGCGACACTCACTATAAACACTGAGCTCCTTGAGTAACATTGACGCCGTTCCAGACTATACTCATCACTGCCCGGTTAAACGTTGGCCAGAGGGCACCCCAAGGACCAAAGCTAGAACGACACAAGACTGGAAAGGGGATTCGATACATCGCACCAGCCCGCCCATTGCGAGCCATTAGGCACCCGGCGAGGAACTGGCCGGTAAAGGAGCAGGCGATGGCCTCCCACATGGTCAATCCCATGGATACGCCGGTGCTTGATGCGTACAAGTTGCTCACATTGGCCGTAGCCGAGAACCAGAAGAAGAGGTATGTGAGGCGTGTCCATTTTTGATCCTTAGTTGGAGTTGGTCGGATCGAGTCATTATCAAGGACTCCCACAGGTCTTATGTTACCATTTTGGTCCACACTATTGACAAGCAACCGCTCGTGGATTCCTTCCCATATGGAACTCATGTTGTCGGTTCTAAGATCTGCGGTTTGACAAAGACTGATACTGGCCCTCGTCAGCATTTATTCCACCGAGCACACAGGCCGATAAGGGATGCCATGATTCTGTAGTGGTCAGACACACCTTATCTCTTGGCTGTGACCTAAAACGGCTTTGGAAAGGTTCCTTTATCATCTGGGCAAGCCTGGTTCCTCCTTGTGCCAGTGTCATTTAAGCTCGGGCCAATGAGGCGTTGAGTTTGTATCGCCATGCTTATCAACTATTCGGCCTCGACCGTCTTCCCCACCAAAGAGATTGCGGGGATTGCCGTGGCAGCACACCATCGGAGATATTTCATCGCTACTAAGAACCACCAAGGAGGCCAAATGGACAAATACCCTTACAAGGCCAGACTAAATCAAAAGAAAGCGACCGGTGGGATGACCTGTACGATGACTGCTATGGCTACCCCCGAATATACCCATGTCGAGCTATTGACGCTGAATGGACCGGAATACCGCAGGGTGTCAACTGCCCCTCCTCGCCTCCCTAGCGATGATGAGATTCCTGTGATTGATCTTGTCGGTATTGATGGCGACCTGGACGCGCGTACCGTACTCGCGGGAAAGATCCGCGCTGCTGCTCAGAATACAGGATTCTTCTACATCAAGAATCATGGGATTTCCGAGGAGATGATCGCGAGCGCTCTCACGCAAGCCAAAGCCTTTTTCCATCAGCCGCAGGAGGAAAAAGAAAAAGTATCCAACTTCAAGTTAATGCATATGGATGGATACCATGCGGTAGGAACTACGCAGGTTAACAAATCTGAGACAAAGGGTCAGCCTCACAACCAATAGTGTGCGACGGGTCATTAACATAGTAACAGACCGCAAAGAGACCTTTTCCCTTCGCTACAACGGCCGCAATGACCCAACCGCAGGACCAGACACCCCAGATGATCGAATCTGGGATGACTCGCCCCTCTGGGCTGGGACCGTCCATCTCCCAAATTTTCGCGAAACCAGCATTTCATTCTGGCAAGCACGATTAGTCTTGGCGAGAAAACTGGTCCGTATCTTTGCGCTTGCCTTGGATCTCTCCGAGGACTATTTCGATAGCGTCATCACGCACCCCGGCTCCGATGGCCTATACATCCACTACCCTGGTACACCCGAGGCCGAACTCAAAGAAGATAGAATCGACGTGGGCATCGGCTCACACACCGACATTCAATGCTTCACCCTCCTCTGGCAGGATATGTCGGGGGGTCTGCAAGTTTTGTCATCCTCTGACGAATGGTTAGACGCTCGACCCATCCCGGGCACACTTGTCGTCAACATTGGGGATTTCCTGCAGCGCTTATCCAACAACCGGTTTAGATCCACGGTGCACAGAGTATATAACCGGCAAAGCACATCACGGTATTCGATGCCGTTCTTCTTCGGGTTCAATCCCGAGACGGTGTGTCAGGTGGTGCCGTCTTGTATCGATGAACAACATCCCGCACTTTTCGAGCCTATCTCCTGTGGAAAGGTAGATAGATCTTTTCTGACAATTGTCCGAAATGTTTTGGCTAACGGGAGTAGTGGCACCGCGATCGACTGGCTCTTGCTCAAGGAAAGCTGGCTACTGCATGAGAATCGAGTGGTAGCACATGTTGTTAAAGGAAATGAGAAAGAAACACTGGCTATCTACCCCTTTCAGGTGTCCAGCTCGCTGTAGTTATTACCCTTATTTTCGGGTTTCTCACTTTGCCTATAGCTTCCCTGTAGCAGCTGAGACCATTACTTCATGAAAAATGCCCTTCAATAGGTATTTAATGCGAGACAAATTTATTTCCACCTTTGTAAGCGTTAAAAATAACAATGACAACAATAACTATACCTTTTGTAGCACTTGATTGTTCGAGGAGAGACGTGGGAGGAGGGTGGAGAAGTGAAAAGATGCGTAGCCTTGGGGGACTATGTCTGGGTTTGGTGACCTGGCTCCGACATGCGACATGGGTCCATTCAGCACAAAATCTTCCTTTCAAGGGAGTTTCATTGATAATACTTCCTGGATTATCGTCTACAGCCTAGGCACCCTTGGCAGGTATCAGACACATACGGACCCCTTTGCTTGATAGCGATCAATGAGTTCGGACGGACAACACACCAACAGTATCGCCATATTGGATCTAGCTGCAATCATGGACGTTTACAAATGAATTTGACTGCTAATTGAAAAGACATGACACGCGTTCATTGGATGCAAAACACTCTACCGCATGATTCAACAACCGTCACCACCAACTCCTCACCGCCGAAAATTGCTCACTTTCCGCCCTCGAAGATAATCTTCTGCGATCGCATATGGTTGAAATCGTCGTATCTGCACATTATTAGCCTCGCCCTACATACAAGGAACATACACTTACGCTCCGACAGCCTCCGATAGTGGCCGCACGTCGGTAACCATGAAACTGGACGCAGTGTCAGTACAATATATACATCTCGCATCCATCCACGGAACTTACTCAAGAGTATCCTGCTTCTGAACCAGCAGCTTCAACGCATCTTCAAAGGTGCCTGTAAACCAGTTGTCAGCTTCAAAATAATCTACCAATAAAACGATCAACCTACTCCGAACCGGGCATCGTCCCATCTGAATCTGAAGATTCTTCCCGTAGGCCTGATTGCCCGTCCACGGAATCTCGCCATTATGCACTCCCACACTCGAGATCCGTCCCCAAGGCCGTAACATCTCAAACGCCATAGCCAGCGCACTACTATGTCCCACCACCTCAATCGCCACATCAGCTCCTCTGCCCTCCGTCAACTCCTTGACCCTCTCTCTAAGCCCATCTGCCTGCGTTTGGAAATTCCACGGCTCGGCCCCTAACCGTCCCGCCAATTCCAACCGATCGGGAACACTATCCACGGCAATAAGATGCCTCGGTCGGTATTCCAGTGCACTGATCAACGCACAGATCCCCACCGGTCCACACCCGAACAGAATCACTGTAGTCTCCTGCACCGTAGCTTCATCCATCCCCTTAAATGCATTGTTAGTGGCAAAATAACCCGTCGGAAAGATATCCGCCATCAGCACAAGCTTCTTCTCATCAATTTGCTTCGGCGCAGCGACCAGCGTCGAGTCCGCCAACGGGACACGGACATAATCTGCCTGTCCGCCATCCAAGACCGCAGAGCCGTAAAGTTGGCTTTTGGCGCAGCGAGAGGAACAACCCCGCACGCAGTAGAAGCATTCCCCGCAGCTCACAGTAAATGGCGAGACGACTAGGTCGCCAGTATGGAAATTGTGGACTTCTGAGCCGGATTCGACGATTTCTCCCGTGAACTCGTGGCCCATGATGAAGCCGGTTGTGGAGGGCTGGTGGCCGCGGAAGACGTGTAGTTCACTACAGATATAGAGCTTTAGTATGAATTTGGGATGTTTTATCATTGGGGTTCTCACCTCCCACATAGTGCAGTGTAGCGTACTTTGACGATCACGTCGGTGGGATCCCGGATCTGAGGAACGGGACGCTGCTCGAGAGTAACCTCGAGAGGACCTTTGAAGACAACGGCCTGCATGGTTGTCAACACGGTTGTGGTTATGGGTAATGGAGTGAGGACTGTAAGATGTGCAATGTTGAAGGTTGAAGTGGTGTTGTTGTGACGGTGGTGCCACTCCCCGCTTTTGGCATCCCCGAGCCTCGGTTGACAGGGATGAGGCGGGATGACGAGAACATCTTCCACATCATATCTGAGTATCTTTGATACCTATGACTGAGATCCCTAGGGATGATACTACAGATATGGCTTGTTTGTGAATGGGAGCGCTGAGTGTCTGTCTGGGGAAGGTCGGCTATGCACTTGCTACTACAACCCGAGGAAGAATATGTTTCTATTGGGGATGTTACTGGTATTACTAGGATTTCCTATATTCACGCCAGAATCGATACTTATACAATGAACTTACTGAGATGTGCAACACTAGAACGTCAATCCTGTAATGGTCCTCCTCGTATAAGGCTAGACTGCCACCGAAAACACCAGCAATTGGCACTAACAGTCATACCTCGAGACGGGGTGGCGGAATTCGGAGGAGGCGAGGGTGGGGGTTTTCAGATCATCGTCGGCTACGTGCACTAGGGAGCCCCGCAAATAGTCTGAAGGCGATTTGCGTAATGCTCATTCCTTAGTTTAAAGAAGCAGTCTATAAGGGGGTGTTCATCGGAGATACCGGGGTATCGGACTAATCTACGCGAGGGGCAAACAGAGGGTCTTTCCCTCCTGCCTGGAAGCGCTAGGGGAAAGGACTCTATATCCATCTGCAATTGATTTAGACATTGACTAAATGTTGATTCTTCAGTAAGTTTCGTAATGTTTTATCCAGATGAGACTCAAAATATATACACACCAGCCGCAAAGGTATAGATATAATCCGCCAAGCATGAAACGCCACCCGGCTGTGAAGACAATTCGAAATAAAAGCATGGGGAATCAAGGGAAAGCCAATACCAGCTATTCAGACGCTTTGAACCACTTTTGTTTAGGTTTTGCCGACCAGATCTTCGTCTCGAACGATTGCCCCAGCTGGTCCACGGTAAAGGGCGAGGTAAACCCGGTTGCCGTGCCCGCATAACTAGGACCGAGCCGCTGGCTACTACCCGCCGTGGACGGCGGATCATAGGAGCTTATTGAGTCACTTGCAGTTCGTACCCGCGATAAATCGAAACTGGCGCTGCGATCTCGTAGACTGGGAACAGACCCTTTCGAGGAAGTGGGTCTCGATTGACTCAGACCAGGGACTAAGCACCGGGGATGCAGCTGCCTCTCATTCGCCATGGATGATGTTTCACTGTTTGCGGTAGAATCCGGTATGGAATACGTGTCGGCATTGGAACGAGACTCTGCGATGGACCCCGTCTCCGCGGTTGGCCCACCACCAGTATTGGGCCTGGTCTCGGGTAATGACCGCGCATCCGGGTTGGGTTGAATGTCCGCGTAAGATTGGGGGTCGGGGATAGATCGGGAATCGGTACTCGATCGGGTATCTGCGGTGGACCTTGTGTCTGAAACACAGGAGTCGGTATTCGAACCAGTGTCGGTGTGTGGCGGCGCTCCTCCTGTGGTCGGTGCTTCACCTGGGCTTGGAGAATGATGGTCAAACTCCTGACCTTCGCGGATATAACACCTCGAGATGAGGTCGTTTTGGATGGTCATGATTTTGTTGAACGCTCTGATTAGAGTAAACTTGAACGGATATGACATCTCCGGATGTCCGGATATTGTTTCGTATGCGAGCTCCTTGACGTACCCCAGACACGTGTTCATATGCATGTACTCGATCTTCAGTGGGTGCATCAAGATTTTACCTGTGTGCATCTTTCTGAATCCCGGATATGCAATCAGTACATCTTCCCGGCTTTGTTCACGAGGGTCTAAATGAGGAGATCAGCTCAGTGGACTTACCCAACCTTATCCAGGTATTCCCAATATTCGAGTCGGCTGGGGTCGGAAAATAATCGGGTCAAATACCACTTCCAGAAGATTTTCCTGCGCTGCACGTGCGGACCGTCCAGAGTGAAGTATTCATCTACCTGGGCGTCTGATTCGGTGCTTCGAACCCGCAAGGCGCGTGCTGTTATGTCGAAGTCGAGCATTTTAGCGTACAGACGGTGAGTCAGTACTGGTAAGGCCGCCTTTAGGAATTTGGCGCCTTTGTTAAAGACGATAATATCATCTGGAATAGTAATCAGCCACCTGTCCCATCTATCACCAGACTAGACCATACCGTCTGTGAGGTCCAGGAACAACCGCAGAAAATCCATCCGTTTACTGAAATCGGTGTATAATTCCTTCCGCGTCACCTGCTTGATGCCATCCTGTACAGGAGACAGTGAACCCATGGTGGATCAGACTAGCAGTGGATAAACTATGGAATGTGTAGACTGCAATGGGTATGGGATGGTACATGGAACGTCAGCAAGGGTAGAACTGGCTTGCACGCTCTTGGTTTGGATGGTAATAAAGATGCAAAGTGTGTTGCTGACCAGCCCTCCCCCAGAGTCCTTATATTTAGCCGGCCCAATGACCCCTGGCAGGATTTTGGGCCAGCATGCGCCTCCGATTGCGCCAAACCGATGGAGAAGCCGACTGCGGCTGACGTGCCATGCGATTGGCACAGCTGCTTGTCATTCCGAAACTGTGCCGTCATCCAACGCTTGAGGGCTGTTGACAGGGTGGTCCACCACTTTACCCGCATACGTGGAACTCCGCGGCAGAGTTTTGCAAGGTGTGATCCGACCAGACAAGGATGCTGAAGGCTGACTGCCAGCGTCCATTGTGGAAGCGATTGATTGGGGGGGAAGGGGGGGACCAATGGTGGGCTGTGTATGGAGACAATAAGTTCACGTATATTAAGTCAACGAATTGCGTCCCCACCAGGATGATTCCGCGACGGTGGCCCAGACTCCAGTGTTCAGCTGCGCCGTCGCGATCCCTGGACGTCCAAGGGCATCAGAGGGCCCGTTTGGCCGGAGTGGACCCGCTAACGATCCCATCGCGTAGGATCCAATACGTCGGAGAGGTCGGAAGTCCCGTCCCAGTCATGATTCGCCGCTCGCATCCAATTGTGATCGTGCCGGTCTGTGCTGGTCCCCTCGAAGGAACGAACTGTCCGTCAGCTTCTTGGCATCAGGGTCGGCTCTATGATGCAGTCAGGATGGCGACCACCTGGGCATTCAGCTGATGCAAAGGTGTTGCTCCTGTAGCCGGCAATGTCAGCTCGCTTGTGTGCTACACTCCCGGGCAATACATAATATGTACTATGTCGATCGCAGCGTGTCTAGAACAGTCGCAAGCAGGGTGTAGTAACAGTAGTAGGTTGGGTATGTTATAGCAGCAGGGATGGGCTGAGATGTCCCTCACTCTTTCCTCACTGAATGTTGAATCATGCCACCTTTGTTGCGTTGCCCTTCTGGGTCTCGTTCATTTGGGATCTCGTGGGCCCCGTGATCGCACTTATCCCAACTGGGACAGGCCTCGGCGTGACCGACCAACGGCACATGACTAATTGCTCCGCTGCGGATCTCGGCTATCCGCCAATCAGCAGAGTTCATTATGGATCTCCAGCTGAGACTCGCTTTTCCACCTTTTCATTTGACACCGGATATCCGATGTGAAACAAGGAATCGAGCAGACAAGCAGTTCATGATTCAGCTACTAGTCGGAAGTGGAATGCCGGTGGAGGAAGATATATAATCAGATCGGTGTGCCCAACGCGATTCGATGTGAGATACTCAGGTTCGGCACCTCTCATGCAGGTCCTTCGTGGAGCAGATGGTCTATCCCCTCCAGCCAATTTACAGGCGGGGCGTAGACAGGCACCCTGGCATCCTATCTAACCGTCCTAAGGCATAGAAGACATGGACTAACGCACCGAATGAGACATCCTTTTTCAGTCAGGGATATCCCGGACTCATTGGGCGCCGGACCGACAACCACCACCGACTATACTAATGCACCTATCCCCGATGGCAGACCCAACGGCACCGGCTGGATTGGCTGTCCTTCACCCTTATCGCATCTGCCCCTGGCTCACTCAATGCGAGAGATATAGCTCAGTCGGGGATCTCTTATTATTTCCGGTGGTGATTCGGTCCCTGAGCAAGGACCAATTGGCTCCCAAGCTTGTCCGCGATCCGGCCGAACACAATCCCCGGTCGGTGCAGATGCTGGAGTTGCAGTGGAAGTTGCCTACTTAGTAGTGTTCCACGATGAAGGACACCTTCAGATCGGTCCGCGTCACATTCACCCTCCCTCTTCTTCTACTCACAAGCAACAACTTCTGAGAAACTCATGATGTTGATCTTTCTCCTCTTACGGCCCGGTGGACACGTGACTGACCTCGGGATGAGCCTTGACCGAGGCTGACTGCCAATGCGGGGATGGCTAACCCGGCTCGGATATACCGCATATGCCACCTTGCTCAACAGCGCCTTCTAGATATCTCACTCCATTGACTCTAAACGTATCCACGGAGGTGTTCCCAAATAATCACTACGACAACAGCAATATGTCGCAGCTGTCTTCTAACCAAATTCCATTTTCGGAGCCGCCATATCTCTGCGGTCTCCCTTCGCCCTACTACTCGCCGGGCCATCGTCGCTTTCAAAAAGCCTGTCGCGATTTCTTCTGGGAACACCTCCACAGCCATGCTGCCGAGTATGAGAAGGCGGGGCAGGTTCCCGAGCATGTCTTCCACACGTTCTGCAAGCATAATATGCTACTCCCGAACATCGGCGCACCCTTGCCCGTGGACTGGCTGAAGCGCTTGGGAATCGCCGACATCCTGGGAGTCAAGGTGGAGGACTGGGACTACATGTACACGGGAATTTATTTCGACGAGGTAGGTATCCTGGGCACGCCATAGGGCATGACTGACAACTTCAGATGGCGCGAGCCGGTATGGCTGGGCCGGGTTCATCCCTGAACGCCGGATTCAATTTTGCAATTCCACCTATTCTGAAGTATGGCAGCCAGCAGTTGCAGGAACGCTTTCTCCCGGATCTTTTGACTGGTCGCAAACGCTGCTGCATCGCGATTACAGAGCCGGAGGCAGGCAGCGATGTTGCCAACATCACCACGACA